GAGGTTAGTTTACTAGTCCCTACTACAGAGGAGAACGTTGTAGAGAGGTTAGTTTACTAGTCCCTACTACAGAGGAGAACGTTGTAGAGAGGTTAGTTTACTGGTCCCTACTACAGAGGAGAACGTTGTAGAGAGGTTAGTTTACTGGTCCCTACTACAGAGGAGAACGTTGTAGAGAGGTTAGTTTACTGGTCCCTACTACAGAGGAGAACGTTGTAGAGAGGTTAGTTTACTGGTCCCTACTACAGAGGAGAACGTTGTAGAGAGGTTAGTTTACTAGTCCCTACTACAGAGGAGAACGTTGTAGAGAGGTTAGTTTACTAGTCCCTACTACAGAGGAGAACGTTGTAGAGAGGTTAGTTTACTAGTCCCTACTACAGAGGAGAACGTTGTAGAGAGGTTAGTTTACTAGTCCCTACTACAGAGGAGAACGTTGTAGAGAGGTTAGTTTACTAGTCCCTACTACAGAGGAGAACGTTGTAGAGAGGTTAGTTTACTAGTCCCTACTACAGAGGAGAACGTTGTAGAGAGGTTAGTTTACTAGTCCCTACTACAGAGGAGAACGTTGTAGAGAGGTTAGTTTACTGTCCCTACTACAGAGGAGAACGTTGTAGAGAGGTTAGTTTACTAGTCCCTACTACAGAGGAGAACGTTGTAGAGAGGTTAGTTTACTAGTCCCTACTACAGAGGAGAACGTTGTAGAGAGGTTAGTTTACTGGTCCCTACTACAGAGGAGAACGTTGTAGAGAGGTTAGTTTACTGGTCCCTACTACAGAGGAGAACGTTGTAGAGAGGTTAGTTTACTAGTCCCTACTACAGAGGAGAACGTTGTAGAGAGGTTAGTTTACTAGTCCCTACTACAGAGGAGAACGTTGTAGAGAGGTTAGTTTACTAGTCCCTACTACAGAGGAGAACGTTGTAGAGAGGTTAGTTTACTGGTCCCTACTACAGAGGAGAACGTTGTAGAGAGGTTAGTTTACTAGTCCCTACTACAGAGGAGAACGTTGTAGAGAGGTTAGTTTACTAGTCCCTACTACAGAGGAGAACGTTGTAGAGAGGTTAGTTTACTGGTCCCTACTACAGAGGAGAACGTTGTAGAGAGGTTAGTTTACTAGTCCCTACTACAGAGGAGAACGTTGTAGAGAGGTTAGTTTACTGGTCCCTACTACAGAGGAGAACGTTGTAGAGAGGTTAGTTTACTAGTCCCTACTACAGAGGAGAACGTTGTAGAGAGGTTAGTTTACTGGTCCCTACTACAGAGGAGAACGTTGTAGAGAGGTTAGTTTACTGGTCCCTACTACAGAGGAGAACGTTGTAGAGAGGTTAGTTTACTAGTCCCTACTACAGAGGAGAACGTTGTAGAGAGGTTAGTTTACTGGTCCCTACTACAGAGGAGAACGTTGTAGAGAGGTTAGTTTACTAGTCCCTACTACAGAGGAGAACGTTGTAGAGAGGTTAGTTTACTGGTCCCTACTACAGAGGAGAACGTTGTAGAGAGGTTAGTTTACTAGTCCCTACTACAGAGGAGAACGTTGTAGAGAGGTTAGTTTACTAGTCCCTACTACAGAGGAGAACGTTGTAGAGAGGTTAGTTTACTGGTCCCTACTACAGAGGAGAACGTTGTAGAGAGGTTAGTTTACTGGTCCCTACTACAGAGGAGAACGTTGTAGAGAGGTTAGTTTACTAGTCCCTACTACAGAGGAGAACGTTGTAGAGAGGTTAGTTTACTGGTCCCTACTACAGAGGAGAACGTTGTAGAGATGTTAGTTTACTGGTCCCTACTACAGAGGAGAACGTTGTAGAGAGGTTAGTTTACTAGTCCCTACTACAGAGGAGAACGTTGTAGAGAGGTTAGTTTACTAGTCCCTAGTACAGAGGAGAACGTTGTAGAGAGGTTAGTTTACTAGTCCCTACTACAGAGGAGAACGTTGTAGAGAGGTTAGTTTACTGGTCCCTACTACAGAGGAGAACGTTGTAGAGAGGTTAGTTTACTAGTCCCTACTACAGAGGAGAACGTCTTAGAGAGGTTAGTTTACTGGTCCCTACTACAGAGGAAAACGTTGTAGAGAGGTTAGTTTACTAGTCCCTACTACAGAGGAGAACGTTGTAGAGAGGTTAGTTTACTGGTCCCTACTACAGAGGAGAACGTTGTAGAGAGGTTAGTTTACTAGTCCCTACTACAGAGGAGAACGTCTTAGAGAGGTTAGTTTACTGGTCCCTACTACAGAGGAGAACGTTGTAGAGAGGTTAGTTTACTAGTCCCTACTACAGAGGAGAACGTCTTAGAGAGGTTAGTTTACTGGTCCCTACTACAGAGGAGAACGTTGTAGAGAGGTAAGTTTACTAGTCCCTACTACAGAGGAGAACGTTGTAGAGAGGTTAGTTTACTAGTCCCTACTACAGAGGAGAACGTTGTAGAGAGGTTAGTTTACTAGTCCCTAGCTACAGAGGAGAACGTTGTAGAGAGGTTAGTTTACTAGTCCCTACTACAGAGGAGAACGTTGTAGAGAGGTTAGTTTACTGGTCCCTACTACAGAGGAGAACGTTGTAGAGAGGTTAGTTTACTAGTCCCTACTACAGAGGAGAACGTTGTAGAGAGGTTAGTTTACTAGTCCCTACTACAGAGGAGAACGTTGTAGAGAGGTTAGTTTACTAGTCCCTACTACAGAGGAGAACGTTGTAGAGAGGTTAGTTTACTGGTCCCTACTACAGAGGAGAACGTTGTAGAGAGGTTAGTTTACTGGTCCCTACTACAGAGGAGAACGTTGTAGAGAGGTTAGTTTACTGGTCCCTACTACAGAGGAGAACGTTGTAGAGAGGTTAGTTTACTAGTCCCTACTACAGAGGAGAACGTTGTAGAGAGGTTAGTTTACTGGTCCCTACTACAGAGGAGAACGTTGTAGAGAGGTTAGTTTACTGGTCCCTACTACAGAGGAGAACGTTGTAGAGAGGTTAGTTTACTAGTCCCTACTACAGAGGAGAACGTTGTAGAGAGGTTAGTTTACTAGTCCCTACTACAGAGGAGAACGTTGTAGAGAGGTTAGTTTACTAGTCCCTACTACAGAGGAGAACGTTGTAGAGAGGTTAGTTTACTAGTCCCTACTACAGAGGAGAACGTTGTAGAGAGGTTAGTTTACTGGTCCCTACTACAGAGGAGAACGTTGTAGAGAGGTTAGTTTACTAGTCCCTACTACAGAGGAGAACGTTGTAGAGAGGTTAGTTTACTAGTCCCTACTACAGAGGAGAACGTTGTAGAGAGGTTAGTTTACTAGTCCCTACTACAGAGGAGAACGTTGTAGAGAGGTTAGTTTACTGGTCCCTACTACAGAGGAGAACGTTGTAGAGAGGTTAGTTTACTGGTCCCTACTACAGAGGAGAACGTTGTAGAGAGGTTAGTTTACTAGTCCCTACTACAGAGGAGAACGTTGTAGAGAGGTTAGTTTACTGGTCCCTACTACAGAGGAGAACGTTGTAGAGAGGTTAGTTTACTAGTCCCTACTACAGAGGAGAACGTTGTAGAGAGGTTAGTTTACTAGTCCCTACTACAGAGGAGAACGTTGTAGAGAGGTTAGTTTACTAGTCCCTACTACAGAGGAGAACGTTGTAGAGAGGTTAGTTTACTAGTCCCTACTACAGAGGAGAACGTTGTAGAGAGGTTAGTTTACTAGTCCCTACTACAGAGGAGAACGTTGTAGAGAGGTTAGTTTACTAGTCCGTACTACAGAGGAGAACGTTGTAGAGAGGTTAGTTTACTAGTCCCTACTACAGAGTAGAACGTTGTAGAGAGGTTAGTTTACTGGTCCCTACTACAGAGGAGAACGTTGTAGAGAGGTTAGTTTACTAGTCCCTACTACAGAGGAGAACGTTGTAGAGAGGTTAGTTTACTAGTCCCTACTACAGAGGAGAACGTTGTAGAGAGGTTAGTTTACTAGTCCCTACTACAGAGGAGAACGTTGTAGAGAGGTTAGTTTACTGGTCCCTACTACAGAGGAGAACGTTGTAGAGAGGTTAGTTTACTGGTCCCTACTACAGAGGAGAACGTTGTAGAGAGGTTAGTTTACTAGTCCCTACTACAGAGGAGAACGTTGTAGAGAGGTTAGTTTACTAGTCCCTACTACAGAGGAGAACGTTGTAGAGAGGTTAGTTTACTAGTCCCTACTACAGAGGAGAACGTTGTAGAGAGGTTAGTTTACTAGTCCCTACTACAGAGGAGAACGTTGTAGAGAGGTTAGTTTACTGGTCCCTACTACAGAGGAGAACGTTGTAGAGAGGTTAGTTTACTAGTCCCTACTACAGAGGAGAACGTTGTAGAGAGGTTAGTTTACTAGTCCCTACTACAGAGGAGAACGTTGTAGAGAGGTTAGTTTACTAGTCCCTACTACAGAGGAGAACGTTGTAGAGAGGTTAGTTTACTGGTCCCTACTACAGAGGAGAACGTTGTAGAGAGGTTAGTTTACTAGTCCCTACTACAGAGGAGAACGTTGTAGAGAGGTTAGTTTACTAGTCCCTACTACAGAGGAGAACGTTGTAGAGAGGTTAGTTTACTAGTCCCTACTACAGAGGAGAACGTTGTAGAGAGGTTAGTTTACTGGTCCCTACTACAGAGGAGAACGTTGTAGAGAGGTTAGTTTACTGGTCCCTACTACAGAGGAGAACGTTGTAGAGAGGTTAGTTTACTAGTCCCTACTGCAGAGGAGAACGTTGTAGAGAGGTTAGTTTACTAGTCCCTACTGCAGAGGAGAACGTTGTAGAGAGGTTAGTTTACTAGTCCCTACTACAGAGGAGAACGTTGTAGAGAGGTTAGTTTACTGGTCCCTACTACAGAGGAGAACGTTGTAGAGAGGTTAGTTTACTGGTCCCTACTACAGAGGAGAACGTTGTAGAGAGGTTAGTTTACTGGTCCCTACTACAGAGGAGAACGTTGTAGAGAGGTTAGTTTACTAGTCCCTACTACAGAGGAGAACGTTGTAGAGAGGTTAGATTACTAGTCCCTACTGCAGGTCACTGAAGATATTGGAGCAGTGGAGACTAAAAGCTGCCCTTCACTCTACGAACGCGGTGTTTATTGAATTGGGGAACGATTTTACTTACTCACTAAAGGAAGACGCACACTTGATGTACGACAACTACAAGGTTAATCTTACTATATCTTACTATATGTAAAGCGAGACGATATAATATATATATATTATATATAAATTTGCTGTTCATTTGTAGTTATTACCATGCTAGTTATGAGTATATTTTTGCCTTCCATCAATTCAGTGCAGCTTTCAGTTTCAAAGTTTTCAGTCCATTCAGATTTTTCGTTTTCAATATTGCAAATTTTTAATAAATCATGTTCAGATTATGGTGATAATGCAATGGATGTAAAGGTATTTCAACCGAATTAACAATCCAACCGTGTGTATGACGTGTCCCAGTAGCCAATCATAATATATATATATATATATCCGTACCATTTTACTGACACCACGACATCAACTTTAACACAAATTTCCACAAAAACCGTGAGAGATATATCTCACACATATATAATATAGATATATACACATATATATTATATCCTTGAAACTTGGCAAATTTTTCTCTTTAAGGTAAGACGGCCGACGGGTTCATGCTAGTTACCCTAGTTACCTGCTAGTTACCCTAGTTACCTGCTAGTTATCTAATATATCTATCACAAATATACATGTGTTATGGTGCTTCTTATGTGTTGCAGGATATATCCAGACTCTCTTACTCTTAATAAGGAAAATGAAGTAGATAGTGCCGCCAATGTATTAGATCTTGATATTTCGATAAATAGCGAGGGGAAGTTTTCTTGTAGAGTTTATGATAAAAGGGATAAGTTTGGTTTTAAAGTGGTCAAGTTTCAACCTTTGATGAGTAATCAAGCTAGTAGTGTATTATATGGCACGTACTGTTCACAGGTTGTGAGATATTCTAGGATCTGTAATAACGTTGTTGCTTTTTCTGATAGGGTTTTGAAGTTTACTGATGATTTAATTGAGTTGGGTTTTAGACGGGATCGTCTTAGTAAAATATACTTATCAGTGGTAAAGAGGCATGGGCTAAAGAATAAGTTTGGTATTGGGTGTGGAAATATATTAATGCCATAGCTTGACCTATGGCATCCTTTTCTAATGTTGCGAAATATTTGTCGCACGTGTTGAATTTAGTTTTATAATAACTTTGCAGCGGCGCAAATCGGAGTTCTAGAATTACGCGGGAAATTACGCGGGAGTAATTGTAGTTTGGGTCAGTTCGTTTTATGACGTGTTGACTACGTTTACTTAGTATACTTTATACCTACCGTTTTATTACAATTTTTACTTTATCTACCTATCACTATACAGTATACATATTTAATCTTAAATTATCATTTTAGTGGAACTATGTAAAAGGGGATCGTTGCTAGCGTTAAAACTGTTTTAACCCTGCCATAGTCAGTTGAAAGTCTGATAGCATATGTTCCGTTTGATTTGACCAAACTAATGCCTTTCATTGCTTTATAATTGCGTTAAGTTTCAATTCTCTTCAGCCGATAATGAACTACATAAACAGTCAGCCTGATTTGAACAGCAAGGTAAGATTTGTTCGTCCATTGTAAATTAAGTGAGCTGTTTTCCCCCTGGCCCCCTAGCCTGTCGTTCACTCCCCCCCCCCCCTGTAGTTCACTCCCCCCCCCCCTGTAGTTCACTCCCCCCTGGCCCCTGTAGTTCTGAGCTGTTATCCCCCTAGAGTTCTAATCTGCCCAATTTTAACTTCATGCTTTAAGAGGGGGAGGGGGCACCAAAAGAGGGGGGGGGGGGGTGGAGATTTGGGGGGGGGGGGGGAGGGGGCGACGGGGGTCTTTACTATTAAATAACTTTCAGGTAAGCTGGGGTGTGCTGAGTGAGTATTTTGAACACGTGAGAGAACACGGTACACAGAAACTAGCTGCACTGTCTGGCGACTTCTTCACATACTCCGACAGGTAATACCTTACATTAATACCTCCTTATAACTTTATAATAGAGATAACAGGTATTAGGTAACACCTCCTTATATTAGAGATAACAGGTAACACCTCCTTATAATAGAGATAACAGGTAACACCTCCTTATATTAAAGATAACAGGTAACACCTCCTTATATTAGAGATAACAGGTAACACCTCCTTATATTAGTGGTAACAGGTAACACCTCCTTATAATAGAGATAACAGGTAACACCTCCTTATATTAGAGATAACAGGTAACACCTCCTTATATTAGTGGTAACAGGTAACACCTCCTTATAATAGAGATAACAGGTAACACCTCCTTATATTAGTGGTAACAGGTAACACCTCCTTATAATAGAGATAACAGGTAACACCTCCTTATATTAGAGATAACAGGTAACACCTCCTTATATTAGTGGTAACAGGTAACACCTCCTTATAATAGAGATAACAGGTAACACCTCCTTATATTAAAGATAACAGGTAACACCTCCTTATATTAGTGATAACAGGTAACACCTCCTTATATTAAAGATAACAGGTAACACCTCCTTATATTAGTGATAACAGGTAACACCTCCTTATATTAGAGATAACAGGTAACACCTCCTTATATTAGTGATAACAGGTAACACCTCCTTATATTAGAGATAACAGGTAACACCTCCTTATAATAGAGATAACAGGTAACACCTCCTTATATTAAAGATAACAGGTAACACCTCCTTATATTAGTGATAACAGGTAACACCTCCTTATATTAGAGATAACAGGTAACACCTCCTTATATTAGTGGTAACAGGTAACACCTCCTTATATTAGTGGTAACAGGTAACACCTCCTTATATTAGTGGTAACAGGTAACACCTCCTTATATTAAAGATAACAGGTAACACCTCCTTATATTAGTGATAACAGGTAACACCTCCTTATATTAGAGATAACAGGTAACACCTCCTTATATTAGAGATAACAGGTAACACCTCCTTATATTAGTGATAACAGGTAACACCTCCTTATATTAAAGATAACAGGTAACACCTCCTTATATTAGAGATAACAGGTAACACCTCCTTATAATAGAGATAACAGGTAACACCTCCTTATATTAAAGATAACAGGTAACACCTCCTTATATTAGTGATAACAGGTAACACCTCCTTATATTAGTGGTAACAGGTAACACCTCCTTATATTAGTGATAACAGGTAACACCTCCTTATATTAGTGGAAACAGGTAACACCTTCTTATATTAGAGATAACTGGTAACACCTTCTTATACTAGTGGAAACAGGTAACACCTCCTTATATTAGTGGTAACAGGTAACACCTTCTTATATTAGAGATAACAGGTAACACCTTCTTATATTGGTGATAAGAGGTTAGTGGTACAATGTACATGTATATCTCTGTATTGCTGTAATGTATATCCGTGTTTACTTTACTATTATTATTCATAGATTTTTGACATTATTTCGAAATATTCTTGAATTAGAAGTCCATCCTTACAACGACAGTGTACAATTATTATGGTGGCGCTGTGGTAGCAGCATGGTGGCGCTGTGGTAGAAGCATAGTGGCGCTGTGGTAGCAGCATGGTGGCGCTGTGGTAGCAGCATGGTGGCACTGTGGTAGCAGCATGGTGGCACTGTGGTAGCAGCATGGTGGCACTGTGGTAGCACCATGGTGGCGCTGTGGTAGCAGCAGGGTGGCACTGTGGTAGCAGCATGGTGGCGCTGTGGTAGCAGCATGGTGGCACTGTGGTAGCAGCATGGTGGCACTGTGGTGGCAGCATGGTGGCGCTGTGGTGGCAGCATGGTGACGCTGTTATCACTTATAATAATTGTACACTGTCGTTGTAAGGATGGACTTCTAATTCAAGAATATTTCGCAATAATGTCAAAAATCTATGAATAATAATTTACGATTATATAATAAATCTAATTAAAAATGATTCTTAATCAAATAATAATGTTTATCGATCATATTGGATAGTTGGGGACGAAGTGAGACTCTCACTTCTTCCCCAACTATCCAACGTCACGTACGGTACTAAGTGTATGATCCCCCCCCCCCCCGTACACATAATAATGTGTTGCAGACAAGCAGACTACTGGAGTGGTTATTACACTTCACGACCATAGTAACCAGTTACCGTAGTAACCAGTTACCGTAGTAACCAGTTACCGTAGTAACCAGTTACCGTAGTAACCAGTTACCGTAGTAACCAGTTACCGTAGTAACCAGTTACCGTAGTAACCAGTTACCGTAGTAACCAGTTACCGTAGTAACCAGTTACCGTAGTAACCAGTTACCGTAGTAACCAGTTACCGTAGTAACCAGTTACCGTAGTAACCAGTTACCGTAGTAACCAGTTACCGTAGTAACCAGTTACCGTAGTAACCAGTTACCGTAGTAACCAGTTACCGTAGTAACCAGTTACCGTAGTAACCAGTTACCGTAGTAACCAGTTACCGTAGTAACCAGTTACCGTAGTAACCAGTTACCGTAGTAACCAGTTACCGTAGTAACCAGTTACCGTAGTAACCAGTTACCGTAGTAACCAGTTACCGTAGTAACCAGTTACCGTAGTAACCAGTTACCGTAGTAACCAGTTACCGTAGTAACCAGTTACCGTAGTAACCAGTTACCGTAGTAACCAGTTACCGTAGTAACCAGTTACCATAGTAACCAGTTACCATAGTAACCAGTTAATGTGTTGCAGACAAGCAGACTACTGGAGTGGTTATTACACTTCACGACCATAGTAACAAGTTACCATAGTAACCAGTTACCATAGTAACCAGTTACCATAGTAACCAGTTACCATAGTAACCAGTTACCATAGTAACCAGTTACCATAGTAACCAGTTACCATAGTAACCAGTTAATGTGTTGCAGACAAGCAGACTACTGGAGTGGTTATTACACTTCACGACCATAGTAACCAGTTACCATGGTAACCAGTTACCATGGTAACCAGTTACCATAGTAACCAGTTACCATAGTAACCAGTTACCATAGTAACCAGTTACCATAGTAACCAGTTACCATAGTAACCAGTTAATGTGTTGCAGACAAGCAGACTACTGGAGTGGTTATTACACTTCACGACCATAGTAACCAGTTACCATAGTAACCAGTTACCATAGTAACCAGTTACCATAGTAACCAGTTACCATAGTAACCAGTTACCATAGTAACCAGTTACCATAGTAACCAGTTACCATAGTAACCAGTTACCATAGTAACCAGTTAATGTGTTGCAGACAAGCAGACTACTGGAGTGGTTATTACACTTCACGACCCTTTTACAAAAACTTGGACCGAGTGTTGGAGTCAGCCCTGAGGTTAGTTTTAAATATGTGACCTGTACCCCAGTTACCATAGTAACTAGTTACCATAGTAACCAGTTGCCATAGCAACACTGACTGTGTAACGAGTGTGTTGTTACTGACTGTGTAATGAGTTTGTTGTTACTGACTGTGTAACGAGTGTGTTGTTACTGACTGTGTAACGAGTGTGTTGTTACTGACTGTGTAACGAGTGTGTTGTTACTGACTGTGTAACGAGTGTGTTGTTACTGACTGTGTAACGAGTGTGTTGTTACTGACTGTGTAACGAGTGTGTTGTTACTGACTGTGTAACGAGTGTGTTGTTACTGACTGTGTAACGAGTGTGTTGTTACTGACTGTGTAACGAGTGTGTTGTTACTGACTGTGTAACGAGTGTGTTGTTACTGACTGTGTAACGAGTGTGTTGTTACTGACTGTGTAACGAGTGTGTTGTTACTGACTGTGTAACGAGTGTGTTGTTACTGACTGTGTAACGAGTGTGTTGTTACTGACTGTGTAACGAGTGTGTTGTTACTGACTGTGTAACGAGTGTGTTGTTACTGACTGTGTAACGAGTGTGTTGTTACTGACTGTGTAACGAGTGTGTTGTTACTGACTGTGTAACGAGTGTGTTGTTACTGACTGTGTAACGAGTGTGTTGTTACTGACTGTGTAACGAGTGTGTTGTTACTGACTGTGTAACGAGTGTGTTGTTACTGACTGTGTAACGAGTGTGTTGTTACTGACTGTGTAACGAGTGTGTTGTTACTGACTGTGTAACGAGTGTGTTGTTACTGACTGTGTAACGAGTGTGTTGTTACTGACTGTGTAACGAGTGTGTTGTTACTGACTGTGTAACGAGTGTGTTGTTACTGACTGTGTAACGAGTGTGTTGTTACTGACTGTGTAACGAGTGTGTTGTTACTGACTGTGTAACTAGTGTGTTGTTACTGACTGTGTAACGAGTGTGTTGTTACTGACTGTGTAACGAGTGTGTTGTTACTGACTGTGTAACGAGTGTGTTGTTACTGACTGTGTAACGAGTGTGTTGTTACTGACTGTGTAACGAGTGTGTTGTTACTGACTGTGTAACGAGTGTGTTGTTACTGACTGTGTAACGAGTGTGTTGTTACTGACTGTGTAACGAGTGTGTTGTTACTGACTGTGTAACGAGTGTGTTGTTACTGACTGTGTAACGAGTGTGTTGTTACTGACTGTGTAACGAGTGTGTTGTTACTGACTGTGTAACGAGTGTGTTGTTACTGACTGTGTAACGAGTGTGTTGTTACTGACTGTGTAACGAGTGTGTTGTTACTGACTGTGTAACGAGTGTGTTGTTACTGACTGTGTAACGAGTGTGTTGTTACTGACTGTGTAACGAGTGTGTTGTTACTGACTGTGTAACGAGTGTGTTGTTACTGACTGTGTAACGAGTGTGTTGTTACTGACTGTGTAACGAGTGTGTTGTTACTGACTGTGTAACGAGTGTGTTGTTACTGACTGTGTAACGAGTGTGTTGTTACTGACTGTGTAACGAGTGTGTTGTTACTGACTGTGTAACGAGTGTGTTGTTACTGACTGTGTAACGAGTGTGTTGTTACTGACTGTGTAACGAGTGTGTTGTTACTGACTGTGTAACGAGTGTGTTGTTACTGACTGTGTAACGAGTGTGTTGTTACTGACTGTGTAACGAGTGTGTTGTTACTGACTGTGTAACGAGTGTGTTGTTACTGACTGTGTAACGAGTGTGTTGTTACTGACTGTGTAACGAGTGTGTTGTTACTGACTGTGTAACGAGTGTGTTGTTACTGACTGTGTAACGAGTGTGTTGTTACTGACTGTGTAACGAGTGTGTTGTTACTGACTGTGTAACGAGTGTGTTGTTACTGACTGTGTAACGAGTGTGTTGTTACTGACTGTGTAACTAGTGTGTTGTTACTGACTGTGTAACGAGTGTGTTGTTACTGACTGTGTAACGAGTGTGTTGTTACTGACTGTGTAACGAGTGTGTTGTTACTGACTGTGTAACGAGTGTGTTGTTACTGACTGTGTAACGAGTGTGTTGTTACTGACTGTGTAACGAGTGTGTTGTTACTGACTGTGTAACGAGTGTGTTGTTACTGACTGTGTAACGAGTGTGTTGTTACTGACTGTGTAACGAGTGTGTTGTTACTGACTGTGTAACGAGTGTGTTGTTACTGACTGTGTAACGAGTGTGTTGTTACTGACTGTGTAACGAGTGTGTTGTTACTGACTGTGTAATATTAGCATTATCCAGTGATCCAATTTTCCTAAACCAACAACAAGACAATTGACTTAACATTCCGTGAGTGTGGCTATATAGTCCGCTATATAGTCCGCTATATAGTCCGCTATATAGTCCGCTATATACTGGGTGTGTGTTACCATGGTGTTACCATGGTAATTGCGCTCTATACTTTAAATTACTCGTTTTCAGGAGGACGGAGATACTGTTTTCCTTTTACCGCTCAGATCTGAGAAAAGGAGCGTTTGTGATGGCTAGAAACACGTTGTCCTTGTTCCAACACCACGATGGTATTACTGGCACTGCCAAGACGCACGTTGTCAATGACTACGGGGCAAGGCATGTAGTAAAGCATTATTAATTAAGTGCTGTACCCCCGCTGTAATTACAAGGCATGTAGTAAAGTATAATTAATTAAGTGCTGTACCCCCGCTGTAATTACAAGGCATGTAGTAAAGTATAATTAATTAAGTGCTGTACCCCCGCTGTAATTACAAGGCATGTAGTAAAGTATAATTAATTAAGTGCTGTACCCCCGCTGTAATTACAAGGCATGTAGTAAAGTATAATTAATTAAGTGCTGTACCCCCGCTGTAATTACAAGGCATGTAGTATTAATTAAGTGCTGTAACCCCCGCTGTAATTGCAACAACCTGACGTCATGCTCTACCCTACTTACTACCATGATTCTGCCCGAGATGAGCAGTTAGCTCAATCAGAAGCGGAAATATTTTGTATTTTGTATTTAGTGCGTAAAATGCGACTCGCGAGAGCGAAAATAGGTGTGGCCAGATAACTCATCAAACTCGATGTCTGAGGACTTTTTTATGCTATATCCCACTAAATGTGATAATTCTGCACATTTTTATGGCCAAGTTGAGTTTCTTACTCCAATTAGAAGCGGAGTTATTTTGATTTTAAAGGGTGTGCGTGATCAATTGCACAAAACTGCACCATAGCCAAAATTTCTACCCAAGTCAAATTTGTTTCTGATGGGTCCCTTGAGCTATTCCAAGTCTCAAACCCCGGGTCGGAAGTTATATAGAATATCACCAACTATAGACGGGAATATTTTCAGATCCATATACATCCAATATACATTTATTTATTCTGTACTTCTACAGATAAAGGAAGTAGTATTATACTACTGTTGAGCAATCTGCCATTATCAACACCAACTATTGAGCACTCTGCCATTATAAACACCAACTGTTGAGCACTCTGCCATTATCAACACCAACTGTTGAGCACTCTGCCATTATCAACACCAACTGTTGAGCACTCTGCCATTATCAACACCGACTGTTGAGCATTCTGCCATTATCAACACCAACTGTTGAGCACTCTGCCATTATCAACACCGACTGTTGAGCATTCTGCCATTATCAACACCAACTGTTGAGCACTCTGCCATTATCAACACCAACTGTTGAGCACTCTGCCATTATCAACACCAACTGTTGAGCACTCTGCCATTATCAACACCAACTGTTGAGCATTCTGCCATTATCAACACCAACTGTTGAGCACTCTGCCATTATCAACACCAACTGTTGAGCATTCTGCCATTATCAACACCAACTGTTGAGCACTCTGCCATTATCAACACCAACTGTTGAGCACTCTGCCATTATCAACACCAACTGTTGAGCACTCTGCCATTATCAACACCAACTGTTGAGCACTCTGCCATTATCAACACCAACTGTTGAGCACTCTGCCATTATCAACACCAACTGTTGAGCACTCTGCCATTATCAACACCAACTGTTGAGCACTCTGCCATTATCAACACCAACTGTTGAGCACTCTGCCATTATCAACACCAACTGTTGAGCACTCTGCCATTATCAACACCAACTGTTGAGCACTCTGCCATTATCAACACCAACTGTTGAGCAATCTGACATTATCAACACCAACTGTTGAGCACTCTGCCATTATCAACACCAACTGTTGAGCACTCTGCCATTATCAACAACTACTGTTGAGCACTCTGTCATTATCAACACCAACTGTTGAGCAATCTGCCATTATCAACACCAACTGTTGAGCACTCTGCCATTATCAACACCAACTGTTGAGCACTCTGCCATTATCAACACCAACTGTTGAGCACTCTGCCATTATCAACACCAACTGTTGAGCACTCTGCCATTATCAACACCAACTGTTGAGCACTCTGCCATTATCAACACCAACTGTTGAGCACTCTGCCATTATCAACACCAACTGTTGAGCACTCTGCCATTATCAACACCAACTGTTGAGAAATCTGCCATTATCAACACCAACTGTTGAGCACTCTGCCATTATCAACACCAACTGTTGAGCACTCTGCCATTATCAACACCAACTGTTGAGCACTCTGCCATTATCAACACCAACTGTTGAGCAATCTGACATTATCAACACCAATTGTTGAGCACTCTGCCATTATCAACACCAACTGTTGAGCACTCTGCCATTATCAACAACTACTGTTGAGCACTCTGTCATTATCAACACCAACTGTTGAGCACTCTGCCATTATCACCACCAACTGTTGAGCACTCTGCCATTATCAACACCAACTGTTGAGCACTCTGCCATTATCAACACCAACTGTTGAGCACTCTGCCATTATCAACATCCAACTGTTGAGCACTCTGCCATTATCAACACCAACTGTTGAGCACTCTGCCATTATCAACAACAACTGTTGAGCACTCTGCCATTATCAACAACAACTGTTGAGCACTCTGCCATTATCAACACCAACTATTGAGCACTCTGCTATTATCAACACCAACTGTTGAGCACTCTGCCATTATCAACACCAACTGTTGAGCACTCTGCCATTATCAACACCAACTGTTGAGCACTCTGCCATTATCAACACCAACTGTTGAGCACTCTGCCATTATCAACACCAACTGTTGAGCACTCTGCCATTATCAACACCAACTGTTGAGCACTCTGCCATTATCAATACCAACTGTTGAGCACTCTGCCATTATCAACACCAACTGTTGAGCACTCTGCCATTATCAACACCAACTGTTGAGCACTCTGCCATTATCAACACCAACTATTGAGCACTCTGCCATTATCAACACCAACTGTTGAGCACTCCGCCATTATCAACACCAACTGTTGAGCACTCTGCCATTATCAACACCAACTGTTGAGCACTCTGCCATTATCAACACCAACTGTTGAGCACTCTGCCATTATCAACACCAACTGTTGAGCACTCTGCCATTATCAACACCAACTGTTGAGCACTCTGCCATTATCAACACCAACTGTTGAGCACTCTGCCATTATCAACACCAACTGTTGAGCACTCTGCCATTATCAACACCAACTGTTGAGCACTCTGCCATTATCAACACCAACTGTTGAGCACTCTGCCATTATCAACACCAACTGTTGAGCACTCTGCCATTATCAACACCAACTGTTGAGCACTCTGCCATTATCAACACCAACTGTTGAGCACTCTGCCATTATCAACACCAACTGTTGAGCACTCTGCCATTATCAACACCAACTGTTGAGCACTCTGCCATTATCAACACCAACTGTTGAGCACTCTGCCATTATCAACACCAACTGTTGAGCACTCTGCCATTATCAACACCAACTGTTGAGCACTCTGCCATTATCAACAACAACTGTTGAGCACTCTGCCATTATCAACACCAACTGTTGAGCACTCTGCCATTATCAACACCAAATATTGAGCACTCTGCCATTATCAACACCAACTATTAAGCACTCTGCCATTATCAACACCAACTGTTGAGCACTCTGCCATTATCAACACCAACTGTTGAGCACTCTGCCATTATCAACACCAACTGTTGAGCACTCTGCCATTATCAACACCAACTGTTGAGCACTCTGCCATTATCAACACCAACTGTTGAGCACTCTGCCATTATCAACAACAACTGTTGAGCACTCTGCCATTATCAACACCAACTGTTGAGCACTCTGCCATTATCAACACCAACTGTTGAGCACTCTGCCAATATCAACACCAACTGTTGAGCACTCTGCCATTATCAACACCAACTATTGAGCACTCTGCCATTATAAACACCAACTATTGAGCACTCTGCCATTATCAACACCAACTGTTGAGCACTCTGCCATTATCAACACCAACTGTTGAGCACTCTGCCATTATCAACACCAACTGTTGAGCACTCTGCCATTATCAACAACAACTGTTGAGCACTCTGCCATTATCAACACCAACTGTTGAGCACTCTGCCATTATCAACACCAACTGTTGAGCACTCTGCCATTATCAACACAAACTGTTGAGCACTTTGCCATTATCAACACCAACTGTTGAGCACTCTGCCATTATCAACACCAACTGTTGAGCACTCTGCCATTATCAACACAAACTGTTGAGCACTCTGCCATTATCAACACAAACTGTTGAGCACTCTGCCATTATTAACACCAACTGTTGAGCACTCTGCCATTATCAACACCAACTGTTGAGCACTCTGCCATTATCAACACCAACTGTTGAGCACTCTGCCATTATAAACACCAACTAACTGAGAGCTTCATAAAAAAGATGGGGAGTATTCTGGTATTATGGAAGAAAGCAGGAGTGAGGAGACCACAATACAAACACCAGTGAGGTAATCGTACTGTAGTGCGACACGTGGATCTGGAATCAACGGGATGCTGTCATGGCCGGACTCCCCAGAAGTTCCAACATTGCTGAGGGTTGGCACAACGGTTTTCGATCCTTGATGGGCTGCACCAACCCTACTATCTGGAGATTTATCGACGTCCTGAAGAAGGAGCAGATCTAACCCAATGGAAGATCAACCAGAAGATGCTCAGACAACCACCTACCTCCTCGCCGACTGAAGAAGTGGACCGATTACGACCGTCGCTTGAACGCTGTGATTGATAGCTACGATGATTATGACAGAATGGGTTATTTGAAGTGTGTTGGAACAATGATTTTGAATTGAATATTGTGATTGTAATCTTTGATTTTATATTTAACCCCATTACTCATACACGACTACACTCTTGTCATTAAAACTTAAAAATGAAAGTCAAATTTTTATTGAATGTGCAAAGTGTTTTGTCGCACTTTAGTTCGTGTCGCACTACAGTCCAGGTAGCGCACTGTAGTGCGACATTGTCGGCCTTGAAAATTCTCTGTCGCACTAGGGTACGTGTCGCACTACGATCCAGATAGCGTACTCTACTGCGACAGTGTCGATCTTGGAGGTTTCGCACTAGGGTACATGTCGCACTAGAGTACGTGTCGCACTACAGTACGTGAACCCACCAGTGAAGACCAAGATTCTTTAAATCCAGCAATACACCACCCCAACACCCCGACTTTCAACATTTCGAATCAGAATTGTATGATCTTATTCTCAAAGTCTGAAACATGTCTCCATCCCTTTCGATGTACAATTCTGAAAAGAAAACATCTGCTGAGTTGTACCAAACTGTTCTGCAGAATGTTAAAATGGCTCACTAAATGGAAGGCGCGATAATTTGAGCATTGTGGTAAGTTAAGTTTGTATACAGCGAGCGTGACAAGAATCATGCGCGCAACTTGTGTCGTGGTAAGAAACCAGCATTGTAACTTTTATTTGAAGTGACCAACTATAACTGTTTCAGGTTGTACAACGCTTATAAGACCTGCACAGACCTGACAATATTAGCTATACAGTATCTGCTGAAAGAAAGAACCACTTTTTCCCCGACTAGCAGTCGACTTGGCTTTCAACACGGTTGAAAAGTACGATGTTTTGGGGGGGGCCCAGTGAGTTGGTCCTTGCTAACACTCTATCCAGAGACGCACTCTCCTTAATAATTGTCGCCATCAATAACTCCCAGGACCTTCAAGTAGAAAAGGAATTAACATTCACCGAACAGTACCTAGAAAATTTTTTCCACTTCCCCCCTTTTTAACAAAATCCCCAAAAAAAAACAAACCCTCACAATTTGTAACACTGACCTCCCTCTCCAAAACCTCCCCCGCGAACCCCCCCTCCGCCCCCACCCCTCCTGTTTAAAAACCCCCCCTCCTGTTTGCCCCCCCCTCCTGCTCCCACCCCTCCTGCTGAAACCCCCTCCTGCTGTAACCC